TATTAGACACTACTAAATTCTTTGAATCTGGTGTCAATATTTTACTACTTTTAATGAAGTATGGAAACCATACCATTCCTTCCACCCCTTTACCTCTCTCTGTTTCTCATGAAATTATGTTACAACCATATGAGACTATGTTAAAATTGGCATCTCAACCATCAAACATAATTTAGAAAACTCAAGCATAGAGAAAAATCAAGTCATATGAGTTTTATATGTCTGCTTTTCTTCTTCCATGATGGTACTCAAAGCTTCTTTCATTGTTTTCTATTTGGAGAGCTCCCTTTAAGCATTATCATGATATAGATCTGCTGTTGTCAAGTTCTCTCAGTTCCCCTTCATCCTTCGTCTAAGAATGTGTTCATTTCCTTCCACAGCTAAAGTGTAAGATTCTCTTTTCTGACCACTTGAAAACCATTGACTCCCTTCCTTCTAGCCTCCGTGGTTATTGATGAGCTATCTGCTGTGATTTCAACTAGTTTCCTCCATAGGTAGCATCATTTCTCTCGCCCTGCTTTCCAGCTTGTGTCTTCACATTTCAGGAGTTTGACTGAAATGGGTCTTGAAGTAGATTGTTTTCAATTTATACTTTTTGAGCTTCACTTGACTTCTTGAGGTTCCAGGTTTATATCTTTTGCCAAATTTGAGAAGTTTTTAATCATTATTTATTTGAGTGTTTTTTCAGTTCTATTTGCTCTCTTTCTGTCCCTACTGGAATTTCAACTCTGTGACTCTCAAGTCTTTTGGTTCTAATTCTATTGTCCCTACATTTGTTTAATTGTTTCCAGAATACTTTGTCTCTGAAATTCAGCTTGGATAATTTTCATTGTTTTATCTTACTTCTTTCCTGTGTCTTTTCCTTCTTACCTTTAGAGCCTATCCACTGAGTTGGTTTCAATTATTGTATTTGGAGTTCTAAACGTTCCATTTGGTTTTTCTTCATATTTTTTCTTCTTTGCTGAAAATTCTCATTTCTTGGCTGAGACATTCCCTATTTTTTGTTTGAATGAAACACGGTTGTAGTTTTTGGTGAAAGTATTTAAGTGATTACTATTTTTAAATCCATGTCACATAATTCTAATATCTGTGTCATCTTGGTGACACATCTGCTGATAATATTTTTCATTCAATTTTAGGTCTTCCTAGTTCTTGGTATTATGAATGCTTTTTATTGAAATCTTGACATTTGAATGTTACATTATAAAACTGGTTGACTTCCTCTGACATTGAAGGGGAAGCCATCTTATTTCTGTCTAGTAGGTATGGAAGTCCGGGTTCCCCATTTAACCTCCACTGACATCAAGGGGATGGGGCTCATCATTACTGCTAAACAAGAGTGAAAGTTCTGGGCAGCATCACTCCAGTGGGGAAGAGAGGAAAGGCCTCTCTACTGCCAAGTGGAATTGGAGTCTAAGCCCCTGGCTTGGTCCTTGCTAGTGGGACCAAATGCCCTGCAGTGTTTTATCTGGTGTTTAGCTGGACTAGAGCAGTTTTGTCTAAACGTTTTCTCTCTTGCTAGCCTGTCTCTTTCTTGGTCTTCTGGCTAGAAACAGTAGGCTTTTGTTGAGATCTTTCTGTCTGTGCCCATTGGCATTCTGAGTTAATGGTTCTTTTAGCTTCATGTCTGGAATACATGAGACAAAAGAAAGTCTAGGGAACTCACCAGTGCATTTTTTCTCAGTTCCCAAGTCCTGATCGAGCCTAACTTTTCTCTGCCTTTCAGGGTATTCTATTTGTTCTATGTATAACACTAAGAGATGTTAATTGTATGCAGTGGGGGATGGGGAAAGGCACTTATCTGTGTTTCCAGAAGTGGAAGTTTGGACATTAAGATTTTAGATCCTGCTACTGAACTGCAAAGAAGGTGTATGGTAAATAAAACTGTATATATATATGCCTTAGCATAGCTCTTATTTCACACCTGCCTCATGAAAAACAGACAGGAAGGACAGCTTTCCCTGGGTTTTCACGTCTGCTCATCCACTGTGGAGTGCATAAGCGGGTGTAGCGTGGCCATAGTTTGCTGTGTCTCCTGTAAGGCAGAACACCAGTTCCATGAGAGCCTTCCAACAGCCACGGTCGTCTTCTAGTGTCAGCCAGGCCTTGAATTGTGCGTCTTTTCACTGAGTTGGTGCTGGTAAGACCAGAATTGGTGTTTCATCGTTCGATGGATCCCCAGCCTGACTCTAGTAAAGCTGAAGGATCCCTAAGCAATCAGGGATGCAACTGCCATGTTTTGCCTATATGGGAACTGCATTTCAGAAACAAGAAAAGTCTTTCTCTGGATCTGAGTATATACCACATAAAAGCAAAGCGAGACCCAGGAACCGCACTGCTCAGCTACCTGCCCAGTGGCATTTGGTCCTATCAGACTGTTCGTCTACCACCTCTCTGCTCTTCCGTTTGCTGTGCCAACTGCCCCCCAGCAGTGCCCCTCATCTGTGGGAGTGGTGCTACTCAATGAGGGCGGTGGGGTAGGGAGAGAGATGGGGAAAGGAATGTGTCTGACTGCACACAAACTTTCCCCAAGAGTGAAAGTCTCATTCACGGGGTCAGTGGTCTCATCTTTGTATCTGAAAGACAGTATACTTTTTGTCTCCTTAAGCCCTGTGTCTAGGTCGTTTGGGAAGCGCCTTGGAGAGTCAAGAATAAAATTGCAGGTCAAACAATGGATGACTGGAAAAGTCGGCTTGTAATCAAGAGCATGCTTCCCCATTTCGCCATGGTGGGAAATCGTCAGGAGCCCAGAAAGCTCCAGGAATCGGTCAGAAAATGGGCTATGGAGGGCGGGGGGTCGAATGCTTCTGATCTTAAACTTAAACGTGAGCTATGTTATTGAAAGGTCTCTGTGCAAACGCGCTGGTGAGTGACCAGGCCAAAGGAGAAGGCACATGAAACTGATGTAACAAAATCTAGGAAATGAGCTGGCCTGCCCCTCGAGGGCTTCTGAAAGAGCTGCAGTTGTACTCCAGGCCTTGATCTGCATTCCCAGTCCACCCCTTCAATGAGAAAATTGAGGAAGTTCTTACCCTTTCTCTTAGTAGAAGCCAGCCAGAATGGCAAGCCCTAGGTGCACTGCATTCACGTCCCAGTGTGTCTGAGATCAAGAAGCCAGTTAGTACGGCACAGACAAGGATTCCCATTCACCTCTCTGGCCCTAGTGTCCTTCCTAAAATTCATTTAACACTACTGCTTTCTTCTCTACAAATCCAAGTGTCTGAAGTTCAGTACTGGCAAATCTAGTGGTAGCTCTAGGGGCCAGCATGACGATGGAAAAGGCCATGAGAAACATTGGTTTGCTGCATTTGACAAGAAAAGCCTGAAACATCACCAGTCTACCAAAATTAGCCTGGTTAGCAGGAGGCGCAGCAAACACAATGGCTGTTATCTCAGGATATTTGGCCCTCTGAGGAGTGGCTTGCTTAATCTCTGAAATTAATAGAACAGAGAGGAAATGGCTCTTATAGAGCCATGGGCCTGTTTCCTTCCTGTTCATAGAACTAGAAGCCCTGGCTTCTGAGGTAATGCCATTTCACATAACCAGAGGGCCTGCCTTCTCCACTCCCCAGGGCAGTTCACTTTCTGTTTATCTCAGTGTTTGTGTATGTGCACAGGTGTGTGTGTGGATGACATTGATTGGATCATGATTCTCTCTTATCCCCTCCCTGTCAACAGTGGACTAAGGATGTGCTATCAAGTGAAGCATGGTGACATTTCCAAAGCTTTATTAACTAGGGTCCCAGGTCTCACAGAAATGGCAGTGAGATGGGGTGGCAATGAGGGAGTGACTACTGAGCCAGCAACTTATACTCCAAACGGCCAGCCCCAAGTCAGGCACGTTCAGGGAAGTTATGGCCTCCATCCCAGTGATGCTTTTGATTTTGTGCTTCCCTTTCATGGCCAGTAATTGAGTCTACAAGGGAACGCCTCTGGGAGCATCCCAGAGTCCATGTTGAATTTTGATGTAACTTGAAATGCTTCCTTTGTTTCCCACATTTCCATGCACCTGGGTCACATCTTGGAGAAAAACAGGGGGGAGTTGTATGTGCAAGGTCTTGTTCCCCTACTCATTACCCACTCTACCAACACTCTTAGAGAAAGTGTGACTGGTAAGTAAGTGCTTTGGCCGAGACCAACATAGGCCGAACTGCATGTATTCTGGGAGGCCCTGGGCTCTGAGGCCTCGGGAGCAGCCATCTATGCCCTCACTCTAAAAAGCTGTCACTGCTCATGCCACTTACAGGTTTAGCATCTCCTGCCAGATGGCCTCCAGTGCCCTTAGTAAGCCTTGCCAAGACTTCACGTCCATTGCTTCAAGTCACACTTTGGACTTGGTAGGAGTCAGCCCTGCGTCCTCTTCCATGCCATACCTTGGTCACCGCCCTTGGCTTGGAGCGCTGTGGCTATTCTCCAAATACCAAGCTGTCCTAGAAGACCAAGGATTCGCTCCAGTTGAGGGAAATCCAAAAATAGATGCCTCACACTCAGAAAACAGCTCCTCAGATGAATCTTCTTCACAGTTGAAACTGCATCTGTCCTCTTGGAAGCCACATATGGTCTTGGAAAGGGATGACATTGAGAGAGCCCACTCATTGCCCGGGCCTGCCAGGTGCTCCTTGCCACTGTCACTGAGCAGCCAGGGCAGTGGCAGCACTTAGTGTGGCAGGATTGCAGCTGAATTTTAGTAGTTGGTCAGTCTCCATAGTGTCAGGAGGACACCCCATGATCACACCAAATTGCGCTGCACACTAAGGATCTCAACAGCTGGGTGTTTACAGATGGAGAACAGAGACTGTCAGATTAAAAGCGGACTTGCCTGTGAGTTCACCAAGAAGCCTGTTGTCCAAATAAGTTACTGCAGGGCCCGGAATGCCAGCAGCAGAAGGAGATCTTTGCGGGAGCTGGGCTTGCATTTCCTGCCTCGGGCCTTAGCTAGGTCTCAGATGTCTCCATTGTTTGTTCTCATTCTGATGTTCTATAACATACAGGATGACTCCATGCACCCTGGTCCCAGGAAACCATGGGCATCTGGAAGCACACTGCTTCCACCCCTCCGCCTTGTCCTGAAGGCAGCCATAACATGGAATTCTGCTTCAGGCACTCAACTTGACTTTTTCTCTTGTTCCTTTCGCAAAAGCAATCTAACAAAACACCCATGACTCAAAGCAAAGTTTTAAAATTCAGTCAGTCCCAGAGGAGAGTTCTTTTTAAAGAGGTCCACCCTCTGCCCATGGGCCATCCTCTGCCCCCTGTGAGAACAAGTTCCAATGAGCTAGAAGTGAGAATAGTCACATTTATTGAGCACTGACTAGGTGCTAGGCATTTAGCCAAGCGTTCGAGGGATGCTACCTCCTCTAACCTTCATGAGAGGAAGCTACCATCATTATCTCCAGGAAAATGAGGCTCAGAAAGGTCAAGCAACAGGAGCAAAGTCACAAGTGTAAGCAGTGGTGCACTTCAGAGCCCACTCTCCTCACTACCACACTCTGCTGTGTCTTAGATCCAAACCTGTTGAGGACCAAATGTAGAAGGCAGTAGTCCTCCTAACAAGCCTAGCACATGCCATTTTAGAACCATTTGTTCATTCACTCAGGAACACAATTGCTTAATGACTCTTGTGAAAGGAGTTAAAAAGGAGTTTTGCCTTTTGAACATGTAAGCACCTATCCAAGGTTAGTAACACATCCAGTCTCCACAGTTCAAGTTTTCACAGGAGACATAGCAGTTGGTCCTTCCCTTGGAGGTTAAGATGTTGACGCCTTTCCCAGGTCTGTAGATCAATTGGCTGCTAGTGTGAGCTACCCAGAGGCATTCCCTTTGCACATTGGTGGTGTCAGGGGACTCAGTACACATGGCACATGTCATCTCCGTGTTAGTCTCCATCCCGCTGGAAGGTGCAAAGATTACTTTCAACCCTGAGCAGCCACCTGTTTATTCCATTTATAAGGCAGATCTGGGACAAAAATAGAAAAGTTAAAGGCATTACATGAACCATTGGAGAAAAAAAAAGGTGCTGTACTCTGATTATTTTCTGTGTTCAGCCACTTAACCTCACTAAATGACTCACTCTGAAGGTTACAGTGAGTTGGCACGCCCAGTCATTGGAAGTTTGCCAACCACTCTATGGCTGGAAGGGCAGGGATAGTCTTATCATTCTCCTTCTTTATGGATTAAGACAATGTGACCTAAGAAATTCAGTGACTTACAGAAGGATGACCATGAGGAAGGTGAGGAACTATATGGAGGATTTCCATTTGGGAGATCCGCAAGCTCAGTGTGCTTTCCACGCACAGAATGATCAAAATCAATCTGTAGCTAGTCTCCTTCTCCCCTCTAAAAGCAAGTAGCTCTGAGGCAGGAAGAGAGCAGAGCTCTGCCCTCAGTGTAACAGTATGTACATATCTGAATGGTCACAAAAATACTAACCCCATTCCATCTGTCCCTCTTCTTTCGACTGGTGGCCTTAGAAAAGCCTAACTGGAATGTCTATTCGCCTCCTCCCATGCTGCATGATCTGTTCAGGAAGGAGAGCTCAGATTGGGCTGTGCATACCTCTTAGTGAGACTTTGACCAAGTCGCTTCTCCTTCCTATGCAGAGTCCAGTGCAGTCTTGCAGGCTGTCTTTCTCTGGCCTCTTGCCTCATTTTCAGAGCCCCTTCTGCATCCGGGAGTTCAGTCTGAGTTCAGATTGTTCCTGGGCTTCCTTCACTAGGAATACACGTGTTGTGCTCTGAAGGCCATGCTGGTGGTGGAGGGACTGAATGGTGGAGTGGCTCTCCTGAGCAAGGTGCTTTGTGTGTGTTACCTCATTCACTCCAAAGAAGAGGCTGACCGTCAGGGAGAACAGGGGCTTTCCCAGTGTCACAGGGTAGGAAGCTGTACATTTGGATCTCACACCCAGTGGCCTGCCTCCAGAGCTCCTCCCATTCTGCTGCTTCCCTTTCCTGAATTAGGGCTCATGCACCCGTGGGGCCTTCTGTGGGCCATGCACAACTCTGGGTGCTCAGGCAAAACTGAGATCCAGCTTTCGTAGAGCTTTCGCTCCCAGGGAAGCCACAGCTCACAGCCAGGCAGACTGGAAGCATCTTCCTTTCACTGCACTGGTTCACTGGAGCCTTCTGACCAGCATCATGTACTGTCCAGTTTGCAGAAAGACAGGCATGGACAGCCAGCTAGGAACTACTGGGACCTCTGGAAGTCATGTGGAAGCCCAGGTTCAAAGGCTGGTTTCTTTGCCAGTATCCCCTGCATTTGTAGGTGGAAGTCTGGCCCCATGAAGGGAATCGCCCATATATGAGCCCCATTGGGTCCCAGGGAGCAGTTAATCAAGGAGGCATCTGTCCCTGCCACTTACTGAGCTCTTAATGTGAGCTCTGGGCCTCAGTCTGCCCACCTCAGTCTGAGAAGTGGACCTCAGAGCTGTCCTCCTTGCCTACGTCAGGGTGTCTGGGATGATGATGAACGAGAGGTAGATAGGACATTTTCTAGACCTCACAGGGTCTGACTGCTGTTAGCGCTCCTTTCAGGGATCAGAGATTGGCATTGGCTTGGAATGTTTTCTCATTGGAAAGGCAATGGGGAATGTGTCCTTGGAGCTCAGGTAGAAATACAGAGGACTCCTCAGGATGCTGCAGTCTCCTCAGCAGCCTCACTGCACCGAGGTGAGCTGGATTTATGGTGCAGCTCTGAGCATTCTGGGTCAAGGCCCGCAGTGCGTATGTGCCTTGCTATTTTGGGGATCCTCCCCATGGAGCACGCAGCTGT